ACTAACATACAATTATCCCTGCGGGAAGCACCCGCAACACACACACTCCTGCCCCGCGCTCGACCGCGAGATAGATCTCCTGTCTATCTCTTATTGTCTTTATCTCGATGCCCGACCACACACACACACACACACACACACACACACACACACACACACACACACACACACACACACATGTTGTACACACGTGCCCGCACGCCTATGTCTCGCTGTTCCTCTCCCTCGTTGTTTCGCGGTTGCCATACTCTTCCTCTTCCGTCGCTGTCCCTCGTCACGTCACTCGCTAATAATAAAAGACTTACTCGTGAGCACCATTGCCGAGCATGTCTGCGGATTATCAAAGCTCACGGACATGGTGTGGATTGCGTGGCGTTTACTTGCAATGGACGATGGAGCAAGTGCACACGTGCAAGGAGAGGGTGCGTGTGCAAGAGGACAACGAGATATCAATAACAACGACAACGACCACGAGAGACCAGCAACAACTACAACAGCACGACCATGCCGCTGGCTTGCTGCATTCTCGCCTTCTCGCATTCCCCGCGGGCCAGTTCGCGTTGTCACTTCTTCACTTTCCCTTGATCTTGACCTGGTCCAAGGGGATGATAAAGTCCCGCTCCTTGCGCAGCGCCTGCACAACCTCCTCCAGTGTAGGGTCTTCGTAGCGGAAGTGCAGGAACACGCTGTTGCTGTGGGGGTGGCGCGCGAACGCTCCCTCGGGCGCAATGGCGTCGCTGTCAGCAATCTCCTTGCCGTCGACACAGTACGTGAGGTTGGCGGACATCAGGTCCGGCAGTTGCTGCACAATCAGCTCCTTCACTGCACGCACGGGGGTGGACGGCTTGATGCTGAGTGTGGTCATGGCGTAGCGGACTCCCCGCGCGGTGGGCGGCTTGTGGATCACCACCTGCACGCTCTCACGGCGGGCCTGCTCTGCTGACATGTTGAGTGAAAGAGAGAGTGGATGCTGTGGCCTGTTGCTTGTGGAGTTGTTGCTCAAGTAAGGTTGGTGGCAGTGAGCTGCGTGGTGTGATGCTTGGACTTGCTGGACGCCGTTGGATCGTTGGTGCTTGTCGACGTGTGGGCTTGAGTCTGTTTGTCGTCGGACCAGCGCTGCATGCGAGAAATGACAAGCACTCTGCTGTTTGGCATCGGCACTTCAGCTCTGCCGCTCGGCAGCTCAGCACATGGTGAGAGCAAGAGAACAATGGTCCCATTCATCATGGTTGTCGGGACAGCACAGCTCCGTTGTTCTCCCTCCTCCTCCTTCATTGTTCACTCTTTTTGGAAGTGCTGTGTCATACAGAGGCCATTTAATTTACTGTTTTGGGTCTTGTGATGTGAGACGAAGAGTGTTGTGAGCGATGATGTGATGATGTGATGGTGTGATGTGACATCACACGTGATGGTGTGGTGTGACATCACACGTGATGGTGTGACACAGCGCCCTAACATGACAAGGGAGATGAAGATCGTGAAGGCGGTGCAACGTACAGTGGAATACAAGAGCAACAGCACGCGACAGCACAGGCAGATCCAGACATACATAGGCACTGACGTGTGTGTACAAGCAAGCAAGCGTGTTTGGGGGAGTGGTGTGGGAGTGCGTCACTGAGGCTGTGAGGTGGGGAGTGTGCCAGCCTGTTGCAGCTGTTCAAAGAAGGTCACCGAGTTGGCCTGTGCCGCCCTTTCCCACCTGCCCACGCGACCCGTGTGTACGTGGGTGCGTGCGTGTGTGCGTGCGTGTGTGCGTGCGTGTGTGCGTGTGTGGACTTGTTTTGTGAGCGCATGATTGCGCAGAGGTGGGACAAAAAGACGGAATCGCAAGTAGACAAGCAGACACACACGCACGCACACACACACACACACACACACACACACACACACACACACACACACACACACACACACGACACACACACACACACACACACACACACACAGTCACGCGCTGGAACACCATCGTGGGCGGGCCATTCACCATCCAAACAACACACAAACACACTAACACACGCGGAGAAGTTGGCCCACACTCACAAACAATAGGTATGCACACACCAAATTCATTGGAGAAATATTTTGGCAGACCCGAGAAAAAAGGGGAGGTCTGCCTCTTTGTTCGAGAGGCCCCCCATGTCGAAAAGAACGGGGAGGAGGGGAGAACGCCCCCCCCCCAAAAACCCCG